AGCCACTGAGCTCCACCAAAGCCAGGTGCTGCCCTCTCTCCTGGCATCAGACTGTGTGCCTTTCCAACCAGGCGTCCTGGAACCTCTGTGTCCTTGTCCCCCGCCTGGCTCAGCCAGCAGCTTGGGTGCATGGCTAGCTGGCTTACTTTCAGTGCCCCCTGCCCCCTCTTCCGCTTTAGTCTTTCTGGGCAGCCCTCTGCCCTAGACACACACACACACACACACACACACACACACACACACACACTATTAAAAACAAAACAAAAAACGCAGGCAGTGTGTCTAGATCGGTCGGTGAGACTCCAAGGAAAACTGGACTTCGCTTGTTTTTTCCTCGGGTCCAGTTCAAGACTTGCTTTATTGTTAAGCCCAAGAGGGATCATTTGCATGGAAGTAGCCACTTCTGGAATCTGCAACAGCTTCCTGTGCCCCCGAAGAGGGAGTAGCCTCATCCTCCATCACCAGACCTGGCAGGAACCTGCCAGGCACAGGGCAGTCTTGGTGGCACAGGAATTCCACAGAGCTAAGGCTCCCAGGAAAGGGTGGCCAGAGTCCCTGCCTCACCCCCGGCTGTCCCTTACCACCGAGAAAGGCTGGGAACAGTGGCCCAGCTGGCCCCAGGCCTCAGGCAGAGGTAAACACTGCTTGCCCCAATCTCAGCTGCTGGGAAGCAGTCAGAGACCCAGCTTCCATCACCACCAGTGCTGTGTGTGCTGAGATCACAAGAGGAGTGGTCTCAGGGAAGAATCTAGAAATTACTTTCTGTGGGACAAGGTGGGTTTTGAAATGGGAGGCATTTCAAGGCAACGGAGAATTGCCAAGTCCTTGGGACTCTGCACCTGCATGGGAGACCTGGAAGAGGTTCCTGGCTCCTGGCTTCAAATCGCCTCAGCTCTTGCTATTTTAGCTATCTAGGGAGTAAATCAGTGGATGGAAGATCTACTTATTGGGCCATCCTCTACTGCTTTCCCAGATCACAAGCAGGGAGCTGGATGGGAAGTAGAGCAGCCAGGACAAGAACTGGAGCCCGTACGGGATCCCTGGGCATGCATGATGAGTATTCATGCCAGGCCTGTTAATTCCACTGTTAAAAACAAACAAACAAACTGAAATACAAGCCATTTTTAAAAAATGCTTATTTATTTGAAAGAGAGACACTTTCCATCTGCTGGTTCACTCCCCAAATGGTTGCAACAGCCGGAGTTGGGCCAGTCCAAAGCCAGAAGCTCTCTCCGGGTCTTCCACATGGGTGGCAGCTGTAGGAGGCCTTGGGCCACCCTCCACACTTTCCCAGGCACATTAGCAGGGAACTAGATTGGAAGTGGAGCAACCTAGACTCCAGTTAGCACCCATATGGAATGCCGGCAGGGGAAACCTAGCCTGCTGTGCCTGAGGTGGCCAGGAAAAAAGGCAACTGCTGTGCCACTCCTAGTTCCCGTGCAACCGAAGAGTCTCCTCTAGTCAAACTCAGCAAGACCATGACCCCACTTCAGAGCCCCTGAGACAAATAAGGCAAAACCCAGGCATTGCAGTGTGTCTCCACCCCTCCTCCACGGGGGCTGTGTGGCTGGCGTGGGGCCGAGGCGCAGGAAGGGACTGGGGGCCGCTGGAAGGAGGGGATTAAGCACGTCCCTCATGCAGCTGAGAGCTGATGGAGGTTTTCGGCAACCAGGATCCTCCCCGTAATTAGGAAGATCGTTTAATTACTGCTATGGAAACCCCAGCGGCCGGTCCACGTGGGCTGCTTTATACCTCTGCCTGGGCTATTTCCCACACGGAGACCTGGCAGGATTGGGGAAGAGAGGCTTACTCCTGAGCTGCATTGCAGGGGGCCCATCTGGTTTGAGGTAACTGAACAAGTGAGAAAGGGATGGAATCAAAGGCACGATTTGTGTTTTTGGAAATACAGAAAACGTGTGAGATAGTAGCACTAGCGGGCGATGGGGTGGGGCCAGGTCCTGGCTGAATCATTGCGGCCATGTGCACCCTATGCCTGCTCCTGTCCATCTCCCTGGCCCCGTCCCAGCAGGACACAGTGGTGCCTCCTGGGTGAAAGAGGTCAAGACCCGGCCCAAGTGGGTAGCTGGCCTCCTGCAACCTGCACCCACAGGGGGAGGCCAGTGAATGCCCCAGCTCACCCAAGGCCCTCTCTGGCCACAACAGGGGAAACTGAGGCACATACCCTTCACACACACACACACACACACACACACACACACACACACACTTCCTACCCACCCACTTTGAGCTGGCTGGGCTGCTCGGTCACTGCATCCACCAGCTGGCTGACCCCTGCCCCCCATCCGCGGCACAAGGCAGCCATGGCCATGTGGAACACTGCTTTGATCGCCACACACCTGCAGCTCCCAGCCTCATCCTCCCACAAGCAGCTGTCATCACGCAGATCCCACACTGCCCCGGGGTGTCCCCGGGGGTGAGAGGCAGTGCCAAAGGCACCTCCCAGGCAGCCAGGGAGCTCCAGGCCTCGCCCCCCGAGAGTCCCATACTCAGGGTTCATGGTCCGAGCTTGTCTTCTAGGGTTCTAGCCACTGGACATCTGGCCACAGGCTGGAGGCAGGATGTCTATGGACCAACTGGGAAACCCAGCAGAGATGCTGGGGGAGGAGATTGGGGCCCTGGGCAAGTGCACAGGCTCAGGGCAGCGGATGGCAGGGTGCCTTTATGGGGTTGGGATGCCTCCTCCAGGGCAAATGGCCGCAAGCTGGCTGGCTGAGACCCCTAGGGAAAGTGGTTACAGAAGCTCGGCACCTCCCTTAACCCCACCCCTGGCTTCTTCCGCGTCTAGACCAGCAGCTGCCGCTGGGGGGCGCTCACCTCGCACTCGTTTCAGGGGACGCCGGAGACAACGAAGGGCACGTAGGCTTCCCGGCACAGGGGAACTGCTCACCTGCCGGGGGGCGGAGGTGGGGGCTTCAGCAAACGTCACTGGGCACTGGGATGGGGCCAGTAAGAACGTGGGGTAGGCACCTGGCACCACAGGTGACACCTGGATTCTAACTCAGGAGTACCTGGCTCAGCTTCTGACCCAGCTCCCTGCTAACTCCCAAGAAGCAGTGGTGTTGGCTCCAGTGCGTAGGTCCCTGCCAGCCTCATAGGAGATCGGGATGGAACAGGCTTCAGCAGGGACCAACCTTGGCTGTTGCAGCCATTTGTGGGAGTAAACCAGCAGATATAGGATCTTGGTCTCTTCCCTCTGGTCTTCCCTCAGCACAGTTCTTCTCTCCCGGGGTGTTGGGAGTGACATGGCAGCATTGCCTGGCGTGGGCGAATGCCAGGCTGGCTAGTTCTCGCGCTGGACTAGGTGGGGAGGAGGGCCAATGCCACATGGCACTGACTCTAAGGGACATTTGCAGTGGTCAGGCTTCAGAGAGCCACAGAGCTAGCTGGCTCTGCCCCAAGCTGTGTCTACGGAGCTCCGGCCACAGCCCTCCTTCCTAAACTGACCTGCAAAAAGTTCCCACTGCAGACCCAGCCGGGGTTTGCTACTTCACACCACCAGGCAAACACACCCAGCAGGAATGGGTGCGGGGAGGTACGGGTACGGGCAGTTCCCAGTCCAGGACGGACATCTGGAAAAGTCTGGGTGTGTCCTTGGAGAGACGGACGATGCCACGTGGGACTGCCGAAGCAGGCGGCACAGCCAACGTGTGCATTCACATGCCTGCCCGTGCAGACACACAGTGACAGGCGTGGAAGAGCACAGTGGGAACAGAGCCCCGGCCACGTGTGTGTGTGTGTGTGTGTGTGTGTGTGTGTGTGTTTCCCTTGCTGGACCATCCCATGGACCAAGTTCGCAGCCTTGACACTGATGAGCTGTCAGCTTTTCCTGCTTTGGACTCAGGAAGGCAGGGATCAAAGGATTTCTCCACCGCATCTTGGGTGTTGAGTTGATGGGGACAGGTCCCCCCGGCCACCTGGCCCTGGGAAAAGTGCTTCGCACACAGGTTTCCCGGTGACTCATACTCATGGTCATTGTGCCTTTTCCCAGCCTCCCCGCCCCAGGGACCCTCGCCCCCCACCGAGTGCAAAAGTCAACAAACAGGGGAAAAACGGGGCTGGGCCCTGCGGCAGAGAGCTGTGTGCTTTTGTCTTTCCTGGAGCCCACAGAGGTCAAGGGCTTCTTCCTCCTCTCCCAGCCCCGGGGATGGGACAGTGTCCTGTAGGAAAGGACCGTTAATTCCCAGCTTCCATGAATGGGCGAGTAGGGAGAGCAGGTCAGAAACCAGGTCAGGGCACCCCGAGGTGGGGACTGAAGGAGGGAGTTGGGCAACGCACGTGCAGGTGCACACCTAGGGAAGCAGGAGGAACGAGCGCAGAGCCTGGGTTCCCCCACCACCACCACCTGCGTCCTGCGGGGGGGATGTTCCTCTACGGTGCCCAGATCACCCCAACTCACTCCTTCGGAGGTGGCCCCGCCGTCGCCGCCGCCAACGCACGCGCGCGAGCGCGCGCAATCAAGAAAAGACACAGTCAGGCAGCTTGCACAAGAGGCGGAACCGTTTATCAAGCAGGCGCCGGCGCGGTTATCTACAGTATCTACACATATCTACACGTTATCTACACCGCCTGCAGGTGGGCGGGGACTCGCGGGTTTGTCTACACCGCAAATGCCGGCCGGCCCGGGAAGACTCGGTCGGCCACGCCGATAACAATAAATACCACTTCTTCCTGCCTCCGACAGCCCCCCACCCCACCCCGCGCCATCCCGGCGCTTTGGCACTGGCGGGCGTGAAAGCACCCCCACCCACTCCCCGCAACGCGGCCCTCGAGGCAAGAAACCTCACAGGGCCCAGCTGCTGCTGCTGCGACGACCCTGTAGGGCGCTGGGCACAGGAGAGACCCCCGCCCCCCGCGCGTGTCACTGCCCGCCAAAGGGCCTCCAGGCTGGGGAGGGCGCGACCCCAGGCGGCCCTGCCCGGGCCGAGCCGGGGCGCTTATTTCTTGCCTCCGCCCCACGCCACCAGCCGTCGGGGTTCGGGTTATCTGGGGCAATAGTCGTAGGGACCGGGAGGCGCGGGTCCCCCCGACGAGTACATGTTGGCGGCCGCGGCGGCAGCGGCCGCGGCGGCGGCTGCAGCCGCGGCCGGACTCACGGCGGGGTGGTGGTGCGCGTGCGGGTGTGCGTGTGCATGTGGATGGTAGCCGTGGCCGCGCAGGCCGGGCAGCGGATAGGGCGCTGGCCGGCTCTTGGCCCCGAGGTAGTGGTCGTAGGCTGCGGCGGCGGCCGGATACTTGTACGGGTGGTGATGTAGCGGCTCCGATGAACCGGGCGCCTCCAGGCGCAGCTCCGGGTGCGGGGGGCTGGGCCGGCTTCCGGGACCACCGGGTAGCGGGACGAGTCCGCCGGCGCTGCCGGCCCCGGGCAGCGCGGGGCTCAGCACCCGTGCCAGCAGCTGCGGCGGGTGCGCGGGGTCGGCGAGCACGGCCGGGCCGCCCGCATCCCGCTCGAACTCTCGCCGGGCCTCAGCCGCCGCTTCTGCGGGGAAGGAAGCGGGGCGGAGAGGAGGGCCGGGGAGGGAGGGCTTCAGCCAAAGACCGCGCACTCCGGCACCCCGGGGTCCTCCCCCCTCCGGGGCCTGCACCCCTCGGCGGGCGGCGGCGGCGGGCGAGGCGCGCGGGCGGGGTGGCAGCCGTCGGGCCGGCCGGGCGAGTGCGCGCTTGCCCGGCTGTTGCGCAACCCGCGCGCCAAGGCCGCGAGCAAGCCGAGGGGGCGCTGGCAAGGCCGGGCGTGGCCGCCGGCGGCCGCCTGGGGCGCGGGGCGGGGCGGGGACCCAGGGTCTGGACCCCACACGTCCTGGAAGCCTACCTTTCTCGGAGCCATTGGGCTGCGTAGGAGAGGCCACGGGATTCCGCGAGCGCGCGAAGGCGCTCATGAGCGGCAGCGCACCGGGCCGGTGGTTCCGGGGCCTGCGAGAGAGCGAGGCGCGTCAGGGCGGCGCCCGAGTCGGGCGCACCGGGGAAGGTGCGGAGAGGGCTAGGGTCCGGGGAGACCGCTCTGCACTCCTCACCAGTCCTCCGGGTCACAGTCGCGGAAGCCTTTGGCGAAGGGGTTACTGGCGATCTTGAGCTGCGTGATCTGTGGGGAAGTGAGCGTGAACTGGCGGCCTCACGCGCGGGGGGCTAGTGCTAGGGGAGTGTGGGAGAGGCCCTAGCCACGCCGCCGCCCTCTTAACAGCGCAGACCTGGGGAGAATATAGGTCTCTCCCTACACCTTTGCCGTCCCCTGGGTGAGCGGGGATGCATTTCCTCGCAGAGGTCCTGAGATGAGTTAGCCGAAGGGACAGACGCCCTAGGAATCCCGGGAAGCTTCTGGAACGGCAACCCCCACCCCCGTTGTTTCTGGAACGGTTTGTAAGAGAAAACTTGCGAGTCAAACAAAACTTTTGCCAGTCGTGGGATTGCTGCTGTTACAAAGGTCGAGGGGGCTGAAGGAAGGGCTCATGCGTATTGCTCAGCCCGGAGTGCTGGTGCCGGTCAAGCCCCCCTCCCCGCCAAGGGCTTCCTTCCCTCTCCCCCACGGGTGCTCACCCGGTGATTCTGGTAGGCGGTGACCGCGGTGAAGCGAGTCTCTTCGAATACAAAGGTTTTGAAGTTCTCTTCCGCGTATTTCTCGCTGTCTTTGCGTGGATCCACATAGACCACGTGGAAGCGAGGCTGGTATCGGTGCATTGAGTTGAGGATAATCTGGAAGGCAAAGTGTGTGTTGTTTAATTATTTATTTTATTTTATTTTTTTTAGGGGAAGGGGCTCTAGTGGAGGCGGAGGATAGGAAGGCTAGCACCTCTACCCACACCCGCACCCCAGCCAAGGAGCCACCAAAGCAGGCCAAAATGCTCTGACTCCAGACGCCCTGGGGACGGCAACCGAGGAAGGACACTCCCAAGTGGCCAGGGATGAGGAGTTTTGGATTCTTTCCTTAGGTCCTGGATGACACTTGGAGCTTTCTGCCGCCTTGCACAGCCCCCCACCCTTCTCTTTCCTGTTAGTAAGCCTCCTCCGGTGGGCACAATCAGAAAGGAGGGAAGGCTCTCTGTGGTCAGCCCCAGGCCCCTGTCCAGCGTGGCCCTCACTGATAAGACGTGGGGGTACCCAGGACAGCCCAGGTGCCCAGCAGACAAAGAAGGGAGGTACTCACGTGGCCATTGTCATCCAGCAAGTTGTTGGTCAGCTTGAGCTTGTCGAAGGACACGATTTGCTTCATCCACTGTGCGCCCTTGGCTGGCGAGTCGGGGTGGTAGTGCACCCGTCCCGGCGTGGCCGGGTCCGCCTTGCCAGCCACCAGCCAGGAGGAGCTATGGAAGGCATACCTGTGACCGGCACCGGAGCAAGAGGGTCACGCCAAGCTGGGCCTCGCCCCACTTGCTCCCCTGTCCTGGTATTGTTTGGCAGGGTGGGGGGAGTTTTCCCACCCTGGGGAACTGAAGCCCTCCAGGGTTACCCAAGCAAGTGCCCCTGAGGAGCTTGGAAAGCCAGAAAACAATACAAAACAAAATAAAACAAACAAAAGCCAGAAGACACCCACTGGTCCCGGCCTTACAGCCAGAGCCAAGCCCCGCTGGAGCGGGAGTCGGGCGCCTGTGGCTCTTATTTCGTTGCATGCGGGTCTGGCAGCCCCAGGTGCTGGGACGCAGGCGACAGGAGCCTGGATGTGGCTGTGCCTGTGCCCGCAAGCCTCGGGCACAGGGCGGTCCACAATCGTTTTTTTATTAATTGCTGTTAATTGTCCCAGCGGCCCGAGGCCCGCCCTGCATAATCTCTCCCAGCCACCCCACCTTTCCGGCCCAGCTCTGGGACCCAGCCGTTCCCTGGGGAGGGGGGAAGGGGACGAGGCCCTTTGGAGCCTGTCTGGTGGGAAATGGGAGGGGGTCCGGAGCAATGGGGCAGAGGGGAATTTGGCCCAGGTTGGCACTGTGGGGCTGGAAGCTCAAGGAGAGGGGAGGAGTGGAGCAGTGTCTAGGTGTTTGGTACTAAGAGCAGGTGGGAGAAAGCAAGTACCCCGGAAACCCTGGACATTGAAGGGCTCAGGTGTGGTCTCCAGGGCAGTCCCTCGCCGCTTCCCACGGCTCCCTTCCCCAGGTCCGGGCCGCGGGACACCAGGCCGGCTCACCGGTAACGTTTGTCGTCCACTGGCACAAAATCCATGAGCAGCATGTAGTCCGCCATGGGGTCCATGCCGAAGAGTTTCACTTGGAAGGTGGGGAACATCCGCCTGGGGGGGGTGTTGCAAATGGGCCCGGGGTCACTTCGGGCTGCCCTACTTTGGCCTTGGTAGGGATAGGGGAATGAGGGGGGCTCGACAGCCCTTCTTCCCCCAATCCTTTCCAGCTCAGATCGCTACATTCAGCTGCTCCGACCTGAGCAGGCCCCTTCCCTGCTGTGGCAGCGGGTGAACTGGCTAGTGCTGCCCGCCCCGGGTCGGTAGACCCGCCTCAGTCATCTCTCTTATCTCGGCCACTTCCTCAGCCTCTCTCCGACCACCCGGCCTCGGCCAGCAGCAAAGAACCACAAGGAACACCTAAGATGCTGGTGGGAACTGCTGCCTCGCCAGCGGAGTCTTTCCCCAGCTTGGCCTCAGCGGTTCCCGGCTCCAACAAAGTGAAACCGGGTCTCCGAATAGCCTGCGTGTCCCTTCTTCTAGCTGGGTCCGCAGCTGCCCCAGCCCCTCCAGAGAGCCAGAGACACCTCCCAAGCCCAGGGACAAGGGTGTCCATAGTTCCAGGCCTCTTTCGGGCCCTGGTACCCTGCCAGTCTCCCTGTTGGCATTTCGCAAAAATGCAGGCCTGCCAGACAGCGGGTGGTCCTCAGCTGACAGGTTATGCCCTAGCCATGCCCCATCAGCCCCTCCCCAATTCCATCTCCTTGAATGGACTCCAACTCAGCAAACTTGGGGGAAACAAAAAGAACTGCTACAGTTTGTGCCTCGTGGGCCTTCAGCCTGATCGCTGGACAATGGGGCCACCAGACTGGGCTCCACTTCCCCCAGGTGGGCCAAAGCTAGGGGACAGGCTGCCACCTCCCCTGCCACCTGTGCAAGTGAGACTGTGGGGTCCTGGGGTGAAGGTGGGCAGGGAGCTGACAAGCGAGCTCCTGGTGAGGCTGGCCTGGCCCACCGTCCTCAGGGTACCCTGGTGCCCAGGGACAAGCTAGGAAGAGAGCTTCCAGAAAAAAACAAAAAAATAAAAAAACAATCCTCTAAGCTGCCCAAGCTGCACACAGACCCTGGGCTGTTCCAGGAAAGACTAAGAAACATAAGCTACCACAGTCGGTGGCTTTTGCAAAGAGCCCGTGAGCTTCCCTTGGGCCCTGCGGACACGGAACTGTGTGTACTGTGTACAGTACACACAGCTCGGCAGCACCCGCCATTGTCTGCCGGTCACCTCGGGTGCATCGGCCGAACTCGTTCTCGGCTTCTCAGCTCTTCAAACAAATACAGCCCAATGGCCTGGCCAGGCCAGGCGGTGCCCAAGGACCCTTCAAGTCACCCGTGCATAACTTAAGGCCCCAGAAAATCGGGGTGGCAGCCTCCTCTCAGCCCCTGACTCTATGCGCAGGGGAAGGACAGGGGAGGGGACCTCCATTCTCTCATTGTCTTCTCCTCCCACTCCCACAGATCGTCCAGACACACAACTGCCCCGGCGCGGCGAGCTGCTGGATCTTGCCCGCATAGACTGAACTCGGCAACCCAAGCCGAGTTACTTTGAAGTGGGATCTTCAGGGAGACGGCGGGGCGGCCCGAGTGGAGTGGTGAGTGGTGGGTGGTGGGTGGGGTGCGCGTTCCGGGCCGGGTCGGCTGCAGCTGCAGATGGCACAGAGCCGCCGCTGGTGTCCCCCCCCCCCCCGACACGCGCGCGCACGTTGGGCTGCAGCCGTCGCCCGAGCCGGGAGACAGCGCGGGAAGCCAAAGCGGACAGCCGGGCCCAACTGGGGGACCCCCTCCCAGGGCCAGCACCGTCTGCAGGTGGCCAGGTCAGACCCCACACCCGGGGCCGAGGGGCGCGCACGGAGGGAGGTGGGGGGGTTCCCTAACCTGCCGGCCTTGGTGACGATCATCTCGGTGCCCAGCTGATTGAACTCGTCCCAGAGCGCCTTCATTTCCAGCTGCACGCTCACGCTGGCCACCTTGGCGTTCTTCTTCACCGGCGCCTTGGCGGCGGCCGCGCAACTAGCCGCAGGATCCTCGGGCTCGGTGGCGGCCCCGGCGGCCGGCGCGAACGGGTAGGCACGCGGCGGCGGCGGCGGACCCGGGGCGCCGGGGGCGGCGGCGGCAGCGGCGGCGGCAGCAGAGGCGGCGGCGGCGCACGGGTCGTAGCGCGGCGGTGGCGGCGGCTCGCGCGGGCCGTACGGGTCGGCGCCCGGCGACGCGGCGCCCGGGAAGCCCCCCGCCGCGGCCCCCAGGCTGCTCAGGCTGCTGGCCGTGAAGGCTGCGACGTCGCAAAAGTGCGAGAGCTGCGTGAGCCACGGGCTCGACACGGCGGAGATCATGACCCGCAGCGGGGCCGCCCCGCCGAGGTGAGCCCTGGCCCCCCGCGCCGCGGCCCCGGAGTGGCGGGCGCTGCGCTGCGCTGCGTGCGCCCCGGGCCGCGCCGCCCCACACCGCGGGCAGGGCCCCGAGCAGCCGCCCCGCCCCGCCCCGCCCCGCGCCGCCACCTCCCCACCCCCCCACCCCGGCCCCCGCGCGCGCCGAGACAATGGCCTCGCTCCCCCTCCCCCGCGCCGGCCCCGGCCCCTCCCCCCCGCCGGCCCCCCAGCCCAACCCAGCCCGCCCGCCCGCTCGCGGCTCGCTCGGGCCCCGGGCCCCCGACCGCCCCGACCGGCTCCCCGGAGCGCCGGGCCGGTGCGCGGCCCCTTGCGCGCCGTCTCCCACGCCCTTACCTATTGTCTCGCCCTTGCGAACGCTGCCTCGAGACCCCCCCTCTCCTCCTCCCGGCCCCCCACCTCTTGGCACACCCCACGCTGCTTTCTGTCCACTGCCTCACCCCTCTCCGTCCTCCCTCAGTCGACCGCTCTCCCTTATCCTGTTCTGTCATCGGTGGTTTCCCCCTTTCTTAAAAAATAAACTCTTTAAAAAAAATTTTTTTTGGATCACTTTCTGACTCGCTCGGGTTTTTCCTTTTCTTCGCTGTTTTCTCTTATTCCCTTCCTGTTTTGTGTTTCTCTGTTTTTCCCTCCGATTTCTTTTCCTCCCTTTTGCCCTCTCCCCTTTCCTGCGGGCTGTGCTCCCACCGCTCTCCAAGCTTAGGGCCACCTCCCATTTGGCCTCCACTCACCCTCCTCCTCACCCTCTTCCTCCTCCTCCTCCTCCTCTTCCTCCTCCTCTTGCTGTCTCCGAAGCTGGGCCCCCAGGCTGGTGGATGGGTGGGTGGCAGGCTCTGGGCGGGATGCCCACCCCTTCCTGCCCCCTCCCAAGGGGCAGCCTGGAGCTTCTTTTGCCCCCAAGGACTTCCTTCTACCTACCTTGCACCCCCGGGTAGGAGTCCCCCCAATAGCCCAGGCAGGGGGTCTGGCGGACAGGCCTGTGTGGATCCAGGCAGGACGCTCACCTTCCATGTCCCTGGTGACGGTGCTGAAGTGCATCCCAGCCGGGGATCCTGGCGGCGGGCAAAGTTTGACTCGGTGGTCAGAGACTCTGGGACCCCTGTGGGCGGTGCCCTGGGCAGCGGCAGCGGCCTCGGCTGCAACCAAAGAGGCGATGCTGAAGGCGCTGGCTCGGGGAGACAGCGGGCTCCGCGAGTCCATAGGCGCCCGGCGGCCTGGCCGGCGCCGCCTCCGACTGCGTGCGCCCAGCCGCCGCACAGCGCCCAGCCCAGCCCACGGGGGCCGGGGGCGGGAGCCTGCGGTGCCACTCACAGCCGCGGGCCTCCCGAACCCAGGGTATTATAGCGTCAAGGAGGCCCCCCGACTCTGGGACTGGTGGCGACCGAGCGGCCCAACCGCAGAGCACCCTGCAAGTGCCCAACCCTGGCCTGTGCGCCTAGGGACCTCCCGCACCCGTGCCCCTTGGCCCATCCCGCAGCGTCTGCTCCGGCTGCCCCACAGTCCCAGCTTCTGCAGCCCTGGAGGATAGGCCGCTAGGTCAGGGGCACCCAGCTCTGTCAGAGTACTTGGGAAGCTGCCCCCACCCCTACCCCTCGGGACGCTGCCTGGACCCAACCCTGCCCCTTGCCTATGGCCCCTCCCGCCTCCTCCTCTCACCCCTACCCCGCACCTGGGTGAGGGGAGGGCAGCTTGGGTGGACAGCCCCAGGGGTTGCAGCGTCCTTAGCAGGGTGCCACCAGTCCAGAACCCAGCCCAGCCAGTGCTCCAACCGTCCCCCTCGGGTCAGCTCACTGCCGTGGTGGCCAGGGGACGCCAGCCGAAAGGGGACGCCGCCCAGGCCGCGCAGCCCCCGGGAGCCCGCGCGTCACGCGCACCCGTGCGCACTGCCCGCCTCTGGCCAGGCCGACTTTACATCCGGAGGGGTGGGCAGTGCCCGCTCCTCCGACCTCCCCGCGCCGGGCCGCCGCACCGGCCGGGGGCGGGGCCTGGCCTGGCTTGGGCCGGGAGAAAGCGAGCAAGTGAGAGAGAGAGAGGGAGAGAGAGCCGGGGGCACGTCGGAGACGCTCAGGCCACCACCGGCCGCCACAGAGGGACCCTTCAAGCCTTGGTGGCCTCCAGGGCTCGGGCATTCCGGACATGGAGGCCTGAGTTGGCCGTCCCCAACAGTACGCGGAGCCTCCGGCGACCAGTGCGACCAGTCCACGGGGCTTCCTGCCTGGGGTTGGGCCAGCTGGGGGTCAAGCCTGGGACTTTTCCTTGTCTCCCCAGCAGGCTCCCCAACTCTGGTGGTCAAGGCCTTCTTCCCAAGGCTTTATTCTGTCTGTTGTTACAGGGGCCTCTTTGCATCTCTTTGAGATGGGGGAGTCATGGGGGGAGAGGCAGGGGCGCCTTTCTCAGGCTTCTTGCCATCTTTGGCCTCAGGCCTGAGGACACTGGGCCTGGAGCTGGGTAGAGGAGGGTTCGGGGACTGGGGACCAGAGCAGAGGGACTGGCTTGTTTCTGAGTTTGGGAGCACAGTGGATGAACAGGGAGTATAGTGCATGTAGGGACTGAGTGTTAACCAGGCCTCTGCCCCTACTCCCACATGTGTCCTCTGGCCTGCAAGCTGGAGTCCTGGGAATCCTGGCTAGTGAGGGTGGTGACCCCGGGTGACAGTGACACAGGAGCAAGGTACAGGGAGAAGGGCAGCGTGCGTTTGCTGCTTGGGGTCTAGCACACTCCATGGGAGAGGAGAACCTAGCCAGAAATTGGGGGTGGCGGGGACAGGGAGTTGGTGATGGTAATGTGGGAGAGATGGCCCAAAGTGACAGTACCTGGCAGCCAGTCTGCCCCCAGATGAAGCTCTGGCACCCTGGGAGCCGAGGTGAGGTGGGACTGGCACTGGAAGTGATCCCTCCCCCCTTGCACAGAGCTCCAGCACCGGGACCAGCCTTCTTCCCACCTGCAAACACCTAAAGGTGATGTGGAGCCTGCCAGCAAACCCCAGGGGTGCTGAGCTGGGAGAAGCGAAAGTGAAAAGCTCTGGGGGGAATCCTGACCATTTCAGAACGGCTCCTTTTCTCCCATCCCACCCCTTCCTTGTATGGGTTGGGGTTAGGGGTACACCTGGGAACCTCAGGTGCAGCTGGAGCAGCAGTCTCCCAACCCCCAGCCCTTATACACACACACACACACACACACACACACACACACACACACACACACCATTAACTCCTTCATGGACCACAGCCTGGGCTGCTGTTGGCAAAATCTCCGGGCGCAGCACAGGAATCGGGCAGGGTGGAGGAGTAGCTTGCGACCGTTCCTACTCTTCACCAGCACCGCAGACACGGCCAGTACTTGCTGGCTCAATTCCTCCGCCCCAGAGCCGGCGGGAAGTCCTTACATCAAGGACACCCGCTGGGGCCCAAAGAGGGAAGCCTCCACCGGGTGCCCCGCAGCCGGCTGCCGCTTAACACCGTGCGACTGGGAGGGGCTTGCTCCAACCTTCCCTCCTTCCCTTCCTGGGTGCCGCCTAGCTGCTCGTTCGCTGCGCACACGATCGTCCACAACCCTCCCGCGCTCCAGGTCGGCCGTGGTCCCCAGCTCCGGAGGGAGCGCGCGCGCCTGCCCGCGAGGTGGCCCGACGTCTCACAGGCGCGCCGATTCCGCAAGTGCTCGCAGCGCGCCCGCGGGACCCGAGGCCCTTCCTGGCGCTGCGGCCAGGGGAAGCGTCCTTCCCTCACCTGGACCCGCCGCGGCTCCCTTCCGCTTCGCTCCCCCTGCCGGCCGCACCTCCTCTGCGGCGAGGCCGGAGGCCGGGCTCCTAGCCGGCCTGGTGGTGTGGACCCAGAAGGCGAGGCGCGGCCCGGGGGGTCGTGAGCTGCGCTCCGGCTGGCTCCTTAAGGGCGTGCGCTACGTGGTTTGGGTAGCGGGCTGCGCGGGCCACTCCTTCTTGTGCGGTGCAGGCCGAGGAACAGCGCGGGAATATGGAGTGGGGGCCCTCATGGGACCATTTTACAGGCGTGCAAGGCTGGGCACGCGCGTGGCCCGGGCCCTGCGCTGGAACCTCGGCGGGTGTTCGGCTGCACCCCAGCGCTACCGCCTCCCCCTCTCCAGGAATGCTGGTGTGACTCACCTGCCGCCCTGGCATCTTCAGGGTTGCACAGGGTCGTGGGGAGGGGAGGAGGGTAGCGAAGCCCTGGATTATTCGAAGCTTCCTCGGCAACTTGCACAGGAGAGGCGGCCCCTGGGAGAATCCTGACCGCCTCTCGCTGTCCCTCCGACTCCGCCTCCCCTCGGTTACACGTGGCTCCCTCAGGGAAGCCGTCAGACAGGCGCCCTCACGCCCACCCGGTGGTGGGACCCCATTCCTCACTTCCCGTCCGTTGCGACGGCTTGTCGCGGCGCCCGTCGTTGGGCAATCACTCAGCATCGCGCTCAGCCGGCCAGCAGCCCAGGAAGTGCTGGCGCGCACCCTGCAGTGTGCGTGCCTCTCTCTGAGCGAGCTCCCCAGCCCCAGGGATCTTTGAAGCTCACGGGCTTCCCGGAGGAAGTGCGAAGGGACCTTACACCCAGCTTTGACATCAGCTTGTTTGGCTGGGTGCATTCACCGTAGTGTACCAGCCACCCATCACCAGGAGTGCTAAGGGGCCCTGGGATCACCCTTCTTCCAGGAATCCCGGGCACCAAAGGGGCAGGACCCAACCGCACGACTCCTGGGGCGCAGAAAGAAGTACCCAGACGGACCGGATTTGACCTGACCTCTTTCATTCGTTTCTGGATTGATGACCCGGAGTATTAACCTCCAGCGCCTGCCTGGACACTGCTGTCGCAGCGGGGTCTCGGAGGAAGGCTCTTTGCTGGGCCAGAAGCAGCTTGCACCCGGGCCTGTCTCCGCAGCCGTTGGCTGCGCCTCACGGGAGGCAAGGCCTGTGCAGCGAACGGTAGTGCGGTGGGCTGCTGGTACCGACTTTCGCTGGAGCCGGGAGAGGCAGCGCGCGCGCGCAGGCAGAAGAGAAGCTGTTCTGTCTTCCCGCCCGTCCCTAGCTCTGGGCTCCAGGCCCGCCGCACAGCCGGTGCAACGTCGGGTCTCCCCACCCCTACCCTCTTCGCCTCCGTTTTCCGCCTCAAGGTGCTGGCCCCCAGACGCCGCTGCCACCGAGAAACGCGGCGTTCTGGGGGAACCTTTGTGGGCAGGTGGGGGGGGGGGGGAAATCTGTTAGAATTAGGGCCGCTGCGGGGAGGGAGCGGTGCGCCCGGGCTGTGTCAAGCCGGGGTGGTGCATCCGCGGGCGGCTGGGAGCTGAGCTGTGCCCTGGGTGTCGGGCTTGAGGACCCTCGGGCTGTGCGGCTGGTGCGTCCTGGATGCTCTGCCGAACCGGGGCCCAGACCCACCTCCAGGAACTGGCTGGGACGCCTTGGCACTTGGCCTCCTGTACACGCATCGCGGGTTCTCTTGGCGTTGCCACTGCCTGGTGGGATTGGCAAAGTAGCCTGGGTGGGTACTATACGTGGGTACTGATGTAGTCTACACGGGACTCTTCGCGGCCGCAGCAAATTCCTGCTGCTCCTTCTCCCTTCCTTCCCCGTTTTGGGCATCCCAGGCCCTACCCCAAGATATCCTACACGGTGTCCTGCCTTTACCCAAACAGCCCCCTTCTTCTCCCGCGGTGGCGCGCGCGCTCTGTATGCGAGCCCCAAGTCCCCAGCTGAAATTCACAAAAAGAGTAGGGACCTTGGCCAGACAGCCCTGAGCAAGGTCAGGGAGTGAGAAGCAGAGAAACAGTCGTGTGTGTGTGTGTGTGTTTGCGCGCGCGCGCACGCACACCCACTGCTGTAACTTGGGCCAGCCAGGGAGGGTGGGCCGACTCCCCCAGCATCACCTGGGGCTTTCTCTCCAGGTGCTGGGCGGAGCCTAACCCATTTCAGGGTCCTAGTGCCTGGAGCAGAGGTCCCGCCCTCACCACCACCCCCTTGACTGCAGATAAACTAAAAGAAGCAGAGAGGAAGAGCTAAGACGGAGGAGCGCACACTAGCCTTCTCCAGGCATGCAGATCCGTGTGCTGCTCTGCAGCCTCCCGCCTCTCCCTCTCGCCTCACTTGCTGGCAGCCTCCCCCTACTGTCCGCGCTCAATCCAAGGCCCAGGAGGGGTGTTCGGGAGGTTTGACCGCGGATGGGGATGGGGGAGATGATGAGAGGCACCGGATGGGTGATGGCAC